GAGAGACTGGACAGCCAACAAAACTGTACAACTATACTGACTAGACTAGCTAGCTAGAGAATGTGTTACTGATATTACCACATTCCATAAGAAGTGAAACTGTAAATGATTCTGGATCACATTGCAGAAGGAAAAACAGTGGTCCCAACAAGATATGATACAGATTAGTGAAATCAATAAATGTGCTTGCTGCAGACTTTAGTTATTAGCTGCCTACGCTTGACGCTGACGATCGTATGGCCAGAAAGAATAACCAACGAGTAGCTGTTAGCAGGCAGTGAACCAACCAAGAACCTATCGCCTAACAAATATTTAGAAGTAAATGAAGATGGATTGGACATACACTGAGAAGACCACTGAGTGACATCACACGCCAAGTTGGTCCTCAAATGGAACCTGAATGTGACATGAGATGGGCGTATGTCCAAGGGTAACATAGAGGAGATCGTACGAGGAAGAAATGAAAGCTTATGGGCAATCGTGGAGTTGAGAACGGAATGAAATAATGACGTGCCACTAAAGGCCTATGTTCCACTCTGAACCCAATGGACGAATAATAAAAAAAAGATTATTACATAGCGATGAATAGTTTAGTTTCAAACTCTCTGTATTTAATATAAATTCATAGATGAATGACATAACAGTTACTCAGAGGTAATAAATATGATTACACGCATTCTAAGAAATGTTTTCCTTCAGCTAAGTGAACGCATACACTTATTATTTACAGTTACGTAATAGCATAAACAATATTAGCACTGCTTCGATCCCATTTACCATCATCCACCTACCCTACTCTTAACTAACTCTGCCTTAAGAAACTTCAATTTGCAACCTACTGTTAACCTTATTTAAAACCAATCGAAAGAAATCTCACATTCACCATGCTGCCCTATTCCCTCTTTCATTCATTCATTCAATTCAACTGAAGGTTGAAAACAGATATTATTAAAAATTGTCCAATTAAAACACAGCGCATAGATTACATTTGATTGGTCGACAGAAAAATAGTCAAATAATTTGGGAAATTTGGCTCACAGCCAAAGAATTTTAGGGAATTTACTGATTTTTTTCTTCTTCGTGTGATTTTTTCTACACACGTACACATACAGATAAAAATATGAACTAATCCATCGTTTTTTTTCGAAGGAAAAAAAAACTTTTGTTGCAGGAGAAGAACGTGACAATAGTTAGCAGAAAGTGATATCTTACAGGAATACAGGAAATGATAAGCTGCCTCCTAATATAAATATTAGTTTGAAATCTGCCTTTAACCACCACTATTCAATACCACTTTTTACAAAATAATCTATAGCGATTTACTAATAATTTACTTGTTCTTCAGAAGTTATGTTCAAATAATGTTGAGATAGTGAAGAAGTGTGAAAGTAGTTTCATGTCAATCCATCTGTTCACTTTTTTCTTACTCCAATAAACTTTTCTTGTTTTCCTTTGAATTCTTCCACTAGTTCAAGTAATCAGCAATACTCGTTTTCAGTTCTCATGCATCACTAGGCATTTTATTTTTATGTGGGGGGTACAAATGCCTGTGTGGATCCATGTAGACTATATTACAATCCGCCTGAAATGTCAAGTATTGTATTTTATTTTGTATAAGTTTTAGCACAAGGATGAATCAAGTTCATTCGATCCACAGCTAAAATACTTGCTTACACTTTAGTTCCTATTCATTTTTCCTAGTCTTTACCTGAGTTACAGTTGTAGATGATTTATTTAGAGATATGTTACGCTATACACTTAAAAACAGATTAATTAAAAAGAAAATCAAAGCAACTAGTCCCCTTATTTTGTTTAGTGGTGGCTAGGAACGGAATCCAAGATGCACATTTCATTCAGTTTAGAACTCATCGGCTGGACGTACCTACAATGTCAGCGAGTTATTGGTTTTCTCATTGAAACTCGAGCCCAGCACCCATCGTTTCAAACCTTAAGCATTATCTACTAGTTCACTGTGCTACGAGGGCCAAGCTGATAGATGATTTAAGAGTAGAGAGGATAAGAATTGACCCTACTCTTCATAATCTAATCAGATAAAGAATATCAAGTCAGGTTAAGAGTAACAATACATTGTTTTTGTACACACAAGGGGAAGGGGGGGGGGAGGTAAACATCCTAAACTCGATTAGCAATGTATTATGTAGGTCAACTTTGAAAGATACTTTCGAACTTATTGACTGTCATGATGACGTGGATATAAGAAACGAAAATGTATTCTTTTTAATGTTAACTTTTCATTTCCTAATGGACCTTCAATCAACAATATTGATATTTGATTAATGTATACTTGTCTTAAGTTGAAAATCTGATTGACTATTTGATCGCTAAGGTGCCTATTATAGGAGATGTGTTGACGATATTATCGTGAGGTGAGATTAAACACGGAAATAAGACATATTTACATGATAGTATTAACTCTGTACAAAATCTTACCAGCCTTACATGTGAAAGAGAAAGTTGCAATCAACTCACATTTTTAGACATACTTTTGAGTCGAATATGATAGCTCTATAAAGTGATCGATTTATAGAAAACCTGCTCCAATAGAGGTGTATTTAGCTTTTCATAATTTCTGCTCTTTACATTACAAGAGACACTTGTTTAAATGCTTATTTAATTTAAGGGGGTTTAGTATATCTGTACAGCAGATGCCATAGATAATGACAATATAATAGTGATCAATACACTTGCTGAAAACGGATCTCCTTAGAGGCTTTTGAAGTGGTCTAGAGGACAATTAAGTTAAAAGCTCACGATGTACGCTAGTCCTAAGAAAGATGTCTACATCAAATCACTTTATAATGGGGAAATAATAAATAGCGTGATTTTGAGACAGGGACTAAATTCTGTGATGTGTAAAAGTTGCTTTACAGTCCTGTTTATAATTATCAAAAATGCTAAAAATATGCACTACACAAGCCTCAGCATTGTACATATGATTACTTCATACCCCACAGTGTATTGCCAATTTACCTCTGTATATATGTGTGCAGAGACATATGAGGTGAAGTAATCGAGCTGGGCACGTGAGGGAGGAGAAACATATACTTCAGTGGTTTGAAAAAAAAGTAGATAGCAGACTATCAGCCTCATCCTTACTAAAACACATTATATATATATATATATATATATATCATAAGAATGGTGTAAAAACAGCTTTTAGAGTTACACATAAAACCAACTGGGGTGCATACTAAAATATGCTGAGGCGATAGCCATCTATGAAGTTAAAACCCTTCCCGGCGTGTGCACAAAGACAATTTACTGTTGTACGTGATATATCTCGGAAATTCCTATCCCATTACATTATCAACAATAGTGTCAATTGTCATCCGTACTACTCTTAAATTAAAATATTACTTTTCAATTATGGTTTCTGTCGCGATTTTGATTAGTTTTGTTATAGATTTTGTCATGAACCGACATCAGTCAGAGAACCATTGAAAACCAGGGGGGTAGTGGACCACTGTTCGTCCTTGTCTGGGACTCTTCATCCGTAGGCACCCATGACCTTAAGATTATGAGGCTAGGACTTTGACTATCCAGCCACTAGGTGGGAGCCATACGACGCTACTGCCAAACATCTAGTTAACCTTGACATAGTGGACTCCCCTGATCAACACTTATCATTAGGACTTTAGAACATTCCTCTAGTAGCCACTTTATTTTAATTAATCTTTGATTTTTTTCATTTTCATGTATGTTGAACTTACAAGAAATGTGTGATTAAATTGTTCAGAATGAATAAAGCTAATAAGTACATCATATCATCCGGATACACTCGATCTTTTATTAAGGCTATCCAAAGATAAGCTTACAATTAACTTTTATGTCCTAAAGTTATACTGAGATACCGTGACTAACGAAGTCTACCTAGTCGGATATCAGGATAGATATCAATAAAACTTGGTGCTGTTGGCTATAATATATCGCGAACTAAGATTCTAGATTTCATAAGATTCTGTATTCCAACCCAATGGAGTGGGTGGAAAATGGGTTCAATTCATAAACCGAAGTTTGTGGGTGTGACCCCTAATAGGGACTCAGAAGCACACTGCTGAGGAATCATCTTATTTATTTCTTCCTTGTTTTCAATGTCTCACAAACTGATGTAAATTCGTGACAAAATCTATATTGGAGTTAAAGTGACAAACTGATCTAAAGACTGCCTGTTTTTAGACAATAATAATCCTATATTATGCAATTATATCAAAAGATCTGAAGTTTTGGGATTAATACGTAACTGTGAGTTATTCAACTCCACACCCGACAGCAATTGTCTACTACCCATGTTGACTTGTTTCTAAAATCTAGACTGTTCATATGACAAGTAGACGTGTGATTTTGATCACCTTTGATTATAACTGAAGATTACATTGAAAAGTATAAATGATATTATCTTTATAAAACATGTATTATTAACTGAAAGTGAAATATTATGTTTCGAGATAAGGAGTAAAACTGTTTAGAATAATGAGACGTTCATTGATATTTAACTGAGAAAACTTCATTGCCTAGCTTGATAACCTTACTAGAACTAACTGCATTTGCTGTACCTTATCTGGAACAAATGTTGCTTTTTTTAAAACAGAAAATTCATTCCAAGATCAAACTCTTAAAGATTTTCCATACTTAAAGTTATATTAGAAAAGTGTTTGCAAATTCTGATACCCAAGCAAGTTTTTTTAGGAATATTGTTTATTGACTAGTCGACTTCCAATAATAACAGCGCGTTAATATCTTCGGTATAGAATTAGACTTACTACTGCAACGGCTACTTAAAGTACTACTGTGTTTGAAATCTACTTGATTGTTAGCATAAACTCTTGTTCACTAATAATATGCTAGTAATACAAAGTATATTACTCATTATTTCACGAAAAACACTTATTTAAATCATTCACATATAAACGTATAGCATGACAAAGCCAAAAAAAACTTTATTTTACCAATAGATTATTACTTTATATTGAATAACTCACTTCTATCATAGTGACTAGAAGATAAGGATCGACTAGTTGATACATGTGATGTACTCCGTAAATGACCTTTTGATGTTATCAATGTATTGGCAGGTCTTCGACGTATTGGTAATGGCGGAGATAAAAGTAATGCCTTCGGAATATTCTTCGGAGTAGCTTCTGGTTTGCGAGACACATGATGGTGTCTAGAAAAATTTGAATGTGTTGTGTCATTTGAAAGATTTAGGTTAGATGAAGACTTGTAGCACAAACGATTGCAGTTGACAACATGTCGACTACTTTTGATATTGCCTACCGGTTCCTGTGATAACAATGATAAAACTGCTTTAATTTCATCATTTGGTTGCAGTGACGATGACTGTCCTAAAGGTGGTTGTGATGAATGTATTGATGGCAAAAAGACTGAGGTCATGAATAGACCAGTAGTTAGCTTAGAACTGAAGAATCTTCTTTGTTAATTCCACTTCATCAGGTATATGATATAAAACTGAATACCTTCTGCAGAGCACCAACATACTGGCTAGTACAGTAACTTCGTTGATAGTCGGCTGTCTTGGTTTATTCTCCTACATTGATTAATCTGAAGGACAGGTTCCACTTGAAAGATTAACATAGAACAAACAGATATGTCAGACAATTTCCCAACAAATGTTAACAAAGAAAGTATAGGAACATTTTAAGTACTAAAAGAAACAGTAAAAGAATGGTTTACATTTTAACATTTACATAAACAGAACATTAAGTAGTACACACAATTTATTGCATCTTTTAAATAAGCAAGTCTCATCTCAACCAGATAAAATTTTTAATGACTGCTGTCTACGGTAAAAGAATCTGGGAACAAAACAATTTTAGCTGCAAAGAATTATTTAATGCATCCGGGTGTACACATACAAACTTTTCCAGCTATATCTGTACTTCAGATTTGGTTTGCGGTTCTTACATAAAACTGCCCAAGTTAAGCTAGGGGTTGAGAAGTATACTTTGAGGTTGTCAAATGTTTAGTCCCGAAAGGGATAGTATGTGTGTAAATGCTTGAATTTCTGCTTTATGTAAGATGGTCGTATTTTAAATCTCTAATTTCCTATAACATATGAGGCTTTTCGCGTGTTTCGGTTAACAAATTTGATACCCAGTTAGGTTCCACAAATTAACTTCATACACTAATCAGTCAAAGTATTAAAATATGATAACTTGGTACAGACTATTTAACAAATTTGAGAATATTCTATGCATAAACTCTTAGAATTTTTCTTCATAGAGTAGTACTATATCCCATATGTGCATAAATATTACTGCATCACAATGAGCTTATTAATATACAACTTTCGTACTGCTAATATACGTCTCGGGTGGGACTAACAATTTGCTGGTGTTTTTTGTTGAAGCCACAGGATTTTTGATTTCAACTGTAAGGAGCTTGAGAACTGATCTGTGAAATAATTTTTCATGTAAACCAAAACCACTGGGGAAAACTTCATAACGACCAAACTTCTGATTGGTAAAGAGCAAATTACCTAACACAATAGGCCACTGTGCACAAGACGAAAATTACGTAACTCAAGAATATCATACTAGTTAACGACTAAATTAGGAGTTAGAAGTTGACCATCAAAAGCTTGTCATCAATGACTATTTTCTCGAAGATTCGAACACACGATACTCAGTAGCAAAGCTAGAAACTTAATTACTAAAAAACCTGGTACAAGTATAATATTCACCCCCTAGTGAATAGGTGTTTGATGTGACTCAGACAACAAGAGAAGTGGGTTCGGCTAAGGATCAAACTAAAGGACCACGTCAGATAGGCAAACACATAATAATCATGAGTATTGCTTTAAGTTGAAGACAAGTAAATCACCTCAGAATTCTTTAAATGATAAATGTACATGGTCTCCTATAGTCCAAAAACTGTTGAACAACCTAAAATTATGCGCGAAGAATCCAATGAAATAGGTATGTACCTGTATCGTAGTAGGAAGAGTATAGTGCGGTAATAACCACCATTTTGCTACGGCATAAAATAAAATACAATTTATAAAGCTTTGTACCTACTGATGAATCCCATAAAGAAATCTATTATAAAAGTAAAACTCTCTCACGTCAGTACTGTTGGTTTCAAGGTTGAGCTCTGTTAATCAAAGAACATTCACATTCCTGAATTGTCTAAAGTGTGAGCGAAAAAATGTACACAAAAGGTTCGGGGCTTTAATTTTGGAACTAAGTATTTTTATGACAGCTTTTGGACAAGGGTTTCATATACTACCGTTCAGGAGTTACAATTTACACTTACACTTCGCTCATAAGACAAACAATTCAGTGACGACTAGTAGGCAGTAACTGAGGATATAGAGCTTGCTGTTTCAGAGGCTTACAGTGAAAACTATTATACGTGGTTCATTGATCCTTATTCTGGGAATACAGATTTTTGAAGATCTGCAATATGCATATCCATGAAAATCATTCCCCAAGAAGAGAATCAAAAGGATAATTCTGAGTAAAAATGTGAAAGCGAAGTTACTTCAATACAGTAACTCAAGTATTTTGCAGCGTTTAGGTTGTAGTGTTTTAGTTAATGATTATTTAAATGTCAAAGATTCTCAATAATAAGTAAATCATTGACACAGCTATTTGTGTTGCTTATTCCACGTAATTTTACTAGATTCCTCACAAACCGGCACTTAATATCATATTTCATAGTGCTTTGTGTTTTCCCATAATACACTGATAACAAGTAATTAGAAGCCAAGGAATCATGAGCACATAATGTCGTGTTTTTATAAAACCAGTGACTATATTTAGTGCTGGAGATCAAGTCGATATTTGATAGTACGATCAAGTCGACATTCGATAGTACGAATAGATCAGGACATAAAAAATTCTCTTCTTAATCATAAGAACAATTCATCATCGAACACTCATCTAAACTGAAGCAATCCGTACGATTCATTTTTCTAGGTGTAATTATTACTGAGTGAATAGAATCCCTGCATCAGCATCATCATAAAGTTACGTTTTGATACCTATCCTTACTTTATTAGACACAATAACCTCAACGAAAAATCAAAAAAAATTCTTCCGGGAAGACAGAACAATAAATTACAAGTAAGGTGAATTTAAAACATAGCAGCCCCGCAGATGGTCGACCTTACACCACTGGTCTTGAAAAACTAATCAGAATTACGAAGAATAAAGAAATCGAAATTAATAGGATGAATGTAAACCATGGCATCTTTCAATCCACTTATGTTCCCAACTTTTTTCTGTAACCTACCCCAAAATTCAATCTTAGAATTGGATTTGCTCTACCTGGCGCTCACAGTGAACCAGTGATTCCTGGTAAGCATCCGCTACAAATGCATGTTTTATGGACTCCTATCAATCTTTTATTTAAACATTAGTCAAGCAATCGGACCTCCTGAAACTTGTTAAGCGGATTCAGGACACAGCATAATTTGAATAAACACAAGAATCTAGTTGATAATCGAAGGTCATGTATTCTGATGGCTGCTGCAAATTAACTCCGCTGACTTAAGAATTTAAGCTTAATGTGTTAAGTGTAGATAAGGGTATGAAGAACTACTTTTACAGAGGCTGTTAAAAAACCTACGTATTCAAACAATTTTTTTGAAAATACGCCATTTAGACTAACGCCCAAGGTCATGCACCCGAACCAATTAAACACAAAGGTATGAATTTCAAAACGTTTAGCTTAGTTTGCCTTCAAGGTTTGTTGACTAACACTTTTAGGCTTGAAGAATTTGCCTGTGTTTAGATTCAATTCGTTTTTAAAGGGATTATCTACTAGGTCTGGTATTTATTTGCTAAACTCTTACCAAATGAAATCTACTCGTCTTATGCCATCTACAATCCAATAGAAACAATTTAATAAAGTCAACTGATTGACTTTCAGCTTCCTTGTTTATTAATCTTGCTTATCCATTACAATGACAAACAAAAGTAGGTATTCCTCTGTATCTTCTTGTCTTGCACCCAATTATAAGCTTCCGAAGCAATAAAAATAAAAACGCGCATTGATACTTTATGTCATGTTTGTGAGTAGGTGCTGCTAAAGTAGCGAGTTTCACGCAAATCTTATTTCCTTTCAGCACCTGCTGTTTCCCTAAGCTTATCCTGTATCAAATCCCCCCACTGGAAATTTAAACCTAGCTGTTTTGAGGAAGGTCAACGCTATGTTTTCTGAGTGATAAATAAGTGGTAAAGATATCTAACATTTCTGTGTGGTCCTTATTTTTCCCAAACTTCATAAAAAATTCCGTTAGATACATCTGTTCAAGCTGGCTCATAAACCCCATTAGCCTCTGAAAATTTTGTGCATGTTTCATATTTTATCTACGTACAGCACCATTCTACCTCCTGTTCTGCATATATGTATATATATATAATATATATAAATATATATATAATATATATATACTCTCAGTAATGTCTCACAGAAATCACCTCAGGCCCGGATTATATCATAGTTATTACGAATCTTTTTCTCAAGGAAATACATCATGTTTTGCTCTGAAATTTCATACAAAATCTATAAATTCCACATGGTTATACATTTCATTTCAGACTACTAGATCCAGTTGATATTTATATACAGCCTTATGAAAAATAAAGGTCAATTATCTAAAAATGCGATCTACGGGTTTTTCCTTTCCTGCTGACAATAATCAAAGTAATTTCTAGTGATTACATATGTAAGCTAAATCTTTTTAGCGAATTTAATAAAAAAGCCCAAAACGACTTATATACGAATGACCATAAGGCGTTCAGTCTGAATGAGCTGGCTTAATTTAGGTGGAAAGGAATAATACTCACCCAAAATTGTTGAAAGTAAAGAAAAATTTTTAACAGGGTGCTTCTCTTTAAAATGTACTAAGAATGACTTGCATTTTTCATAAGTGTTACCATTCGTTCAGAGAATTTTCATCTAGGGTTGGAGACATTCTCCAGATTAGATCTATTTTGCAAAACTTCCAACAGGATTCCTTGGTGAAACCCAACTCTTATATCCATTTCTTTCCTATATTCTAGTTCCTAGCGGCACATACGGCATCAAGCTCGGAAATCTTTGTAACGGGGAGGACTGCTAGTCATGCAGAACCCTCCATCCTTACTACAAGCCAGTGAGCCGGTTGGGGCTTTGAAGTACTTTGGCAGGAAATGCACCAGGACCACACATTTGTCTGGCAAGTGTTCTACCACTGAACTAGCTATATACGCGTTTCCACTGTATTTGTATTACTATTAACAGAAGCTCTGGCAGGCAGCTACGGGTTCATTCATGAACTCAGCACTCGGATCGCTAATTTTAACTTCACCCACTTTTGGTTTATTACTTCGATCGCAAATTAACATAATATCTAAAAATTATGAACCGCGCACTACAGCTCAAAATGTATTTCTATTTCAGACTACATATAAGGCCGTGAGTAAATTTGGGAAGCCGCTATTTAGGGATTACCATAATATAAAAACTGTCAACTCCTATTCAGCTTTGACCTATGTTGTCAGCGAACTTCTGTTCACCGTGTTCCCTAAAAATCCGAAAAAATAAATTATTTTTTACTTCGTTGGCACTTCTATTTGGGATACGTCATTTGTCACTGCATGGTTGTTCCGTACGAGTATGTTGATTAACGCGTAGAAAGCTATATGTGAGCCATTTTAGAACATTGACAGCGTTTGTATAAGATGCTGTACAGCGTCTTGTTATGGTGACAGTGGATTTCATCAAGGATGCTGAGCCATTACTAGCCAAATTTTAGGGATGATATATGAGTAAGTGACTTCAAATGTTTCTCAGCTTCAGTCGGAATGTATATCAATGCAACTTCTACTACATGGCAAATACAACAGAACAGGTGAGCAGAAAAGTACCAGAGGGCAGAGAAAAAGTATGTAGAGTGGAACATACACGTTTATATTCTTTGTACATTGTAATTTGATGAACAAATATTTATTTCTACTATGTCTTTTTATGCATTTATGCTACTAGTTTATTTACAGTCTTTAGAGAAGTAAGGGTATTTAAGCGCGTTTAGGTACTGTAGTAGACTAATAGTTGATTCGTTCTAGGAATAAATAGTTTATTTATATAATCAGTTGAGTGAAATAGTGTGCACAGAGAGCGTTTGAAACTTATAACCGTATTGTAGTTCCTGACTTCTAGGGGCAGGTTGTTCCATATTTTAGAATACATGACTGTGAAGTTTTCACGGAGTGTTGACTTAAAGGCTTTTATTGTCACTGGGCAAGTTTGGTTACGCAGACCGTAAGAGCCTTCTTGTGCGAGTTGTATGTCCTTACTGTCTGAGAATGATATTTTGTGTAGGACCTTATAGAAGAATACTAGGTTTATAATTAGTCGTCTTGTCCAGAGCGGGTCAAGTTGTAGAATCATGCACCGTGAGATGTAGTCTTTCGTACAATCGTAGCCAAGTAGTTTTGAGGTAAAATATCGTTGGATACTTTAAATTCTTAGCTTTTCACGTGTGTGAGTGCTGCTAATAATAAATGGACAGTATTCTAGTAGTGGCCTCACACAGGTTTTGTACAGAATGAGCTTGGCTTCATTGTCGTGAAAGTTCCTGAGTATGCATCCTAAGAGCATCCTCGACTTTTGAGTCTGTGATGCCACTTGCTCAGAAAATGTTAGGTTACTCGAGTACCTCAGACCTAGGTCAACGACACTTTGGAGTCTGGTTAGGTTAGCCGATCGAAGCGTTAATTTCATGTCGATTGAGGGTGCGCCGAAGCAGATCCAGCCACATTTTTTAGGGTTAAATTGTACATTCCATAAAGACGACCAAGCAGTCACTTTATCTAATCCTTTATACACAACATTCCCAAAGTACCCCGGGTCATCAGATTGGAATGTATAAGCTACTTTTAGGTCATCTGCAAACATGAATGGTTTCTCATGTGAGAAGCAAGCGCATATGTCGTTGATATATAGAGTAATTAGAAGGGGTCCAATGACGCTACCTTGTACTACACCAGAGGTGATTGGGCTAGGTTTCGAAGTTACAGATCCGAGTTTAATTATTTGGGACCTGTTGCTAAGGAATGATTTAAGCCATCCTAATAGTGGGTCACGTATTCCTAAGGAGTTGGGCTTATGTATTAGTAGTAAATGGTCGACACGGTCAAATGCCTTTGAGATGTCAAAGTAGATGACAAGTACTAGTTGTCGTCTGTCACGACTGCTGGTCACAAAGTTAAAGAAGTCTAAGTGGCATGTTAAACAAGATCTGAGTTTTAGGAATCCATGTTGGTTCAGACTTATAGTGTTGCAGCTAAGTATATATGCTTGATTAGGTTATCTTTAACCAGTCTCTCCATAATTCTAGATTATATAGCTGTGATATTGATCGGCCTGTAGTTATTGACTTCTGTTTTCGAGCCAGATTTGTGCTTAGGCATAATAAATGTTGTTTTCTATATATCAGGGTAAGTTTGGGTTTCTAGAGTCATTGTGAATATTTTAAACAGTAGTAAGGGAATGTCAGGGACACCATATTTATAAGAATAGGATGATATGCCGTCAGTACCAAAACCTTTTGGGCTTTTTAGGGTTCTTATAGTTTGTTTAATGTTAGCATAAGTAAATCCAACAGTACTAATTAAGTTTGGTGTATGTGGAGATGGAGTTTGTGCCATACTAGTAGCAGGGTGTATATTGAGTAACCGGACTGTGGGCTTAAGGCAGTTACCTGCAAAGGTTGAGTTAAATAATTCACACATGTCTGCAGAATTAGTGCCTAGCCTACCTTTGTCTATGAGGAGAGAAATGCTGCGATTTTTGCGATTCATTCGCTTCTTTAAGATTTCCTTGAGTGCATACACTCTAGCAGGACTGGCTACTGCGATGCGTTCTCCTTTTCTCATACGCAAATATCGAGCTTGCGAGATGGAACTAAGGGTGTTAGGTATTAAACCCAGTGTGCCAAAGTCGTGGTGTTTGAAGTAACTTGTTGAGAGTCTCTTCAGTTTCGTACGATCCTTTGGTTTTATGAATGACCTTCTATGTGGGGAAAGCTTAAGTGTTTGAAGTGGAATGGCAGCATCTAAGCATGTGTTGCAGTTTTGGTAGAAGATGCTCAGAGCTCTCGAGAGGTCATCAGTAGTGAAGTATTCGTCCCATTCGGAGGATCTTAGCATTGATTCTACGAAGGCCCAGTTTGCCTTACTATAGTTCCTATATATTACTTGTTGTGAAGTGGAGGTATGAGCTGCATTGCTACTCAGTGGAAGTGGCAGTGCACACATCACTGTTTTGTGGTCACTACCTGAAAACTGAGAACCCACTAAGATTGAGAGGGGGCTTATATCGTGACACAATATTAAGTCTAGTACATTTTCACCTATTGTAGGGATAGTGATAGTTTGTTTCCAGCCGAAAATGTCCAGTGTCCCTTAGAGCTTGTCATATTTAGTTGGCCCTGTTAATAAATCCCAGTTGATTTCGGGTAGGTTGAAGTCTCCATATATGATCTTATGCTCGTATGGAAGAGTGGATACTTGCCCGAGTACATTTATAAGTTGTGTCTCGTAATCACTAAAGGTGCCAGGTGTTCTGTACATACATCCTATCAGTAGTGTAGCACTTTTGAAGTGTACGTTGACCAATAGGGTGTTGTGCATGCCA